ATTTTGTTGAAAACTTCAAAAGCATGTATAAAATTCCAACAAATCTATTAAATTAGACTTGTCTAATTTAAAATCTATACTATAAAAAATAGTCTAGTTTTTGCATTTCGAAAGCATAAAAATTGTATAATTGACTAATTGTAGGAATTATTAAATAAATATAGTATTTTGTAATTTTAGGTGTTTGACATGTATTAATTTAATTATTAAATAATTTTTAAAATGATTAAAAATAAGAAAATGCATTTTTAAGTTTAGCATTGCATAGGCTCGCTTAAATTTGTAAAGTTTAAAATTTTGCCTCCATGTTTTTTAGAACACTGACACTAAGTAATAAGCCCAATTAAATGTTGGAATATGAAATCCACTATAAGGCTTCTCAAGTGCCACTTAAGATGTGAATTTTAGTTAATAGATAATTTCTCTGTGTTGCATGACCAACCATATATATATTTCTAGTACTCCTAGAATATTCATAGAGTACTAGTTTTTTCACTACATATCGTAAAATCTCAATAAATGAATGTTCGAAAAATTAATATTCTAGCGTAAAAAATAGAATTTCTCGATCCAAACTCTCACTAGTTTACTAAATTAATAATCTCACTAAATATATGATAATAATTATACTTCAAATCTTTTGAGCCCAACAAAAATAAACTTTAAAAATCAAAATTAACTTGTAGTAAAATCAAACTTCATATCATACACGTGAACTCAAACATCGTGTAAAAGTAGAATTGTAGTCTAAATATCGAGTTTTGTTGATTATCTCGAATTGGAATCAAAATTTTGAAAATTTTAAAACATCGAGTTGCGCGAATATATTGAACTTTGTTTTAGATAAGCATTTAAAGTTCGAAATTTGGAGAATCTTAGAAATATTTTGAAATCTCGAATTAATATAAACTTTAAATTGTATAATCTTGAATTTTATAGCAGATTGAGCGAATTTCTGTTTAATATAGTGTATATATTAATTTTATATGTAAACTCTGAATTTGAAAATGATTACTGCAAAAAGAAGATTATTCATTATGTACGTGAGGAATTTATTGTACAACTTTTATTATATAAATTTCAAGGGACGTAATAAACTATTAGAAAGATAATTCAATATAGAGTTCAACGTAAAAAGAGCTTTAGATAAATAAAAAATTAAGCACATTTGAAGTTATGCAAACTCAAGATTTGCACATCAAAGTCTATGTTTGCATAGCAAACTTGATATTTGTACAATATACTTAGAGCTTGTTTGGGAGGGATTAAAATCAGATTAAAATTGAAAATATAGTCGTTATTGTTGACTTTTATTAGACTGGTGTGACCCAATGACGGCCATATTTTCAATTTTAATTGGATTTTGAGCCCTCCCGAACGGGGCCTTAATTTTCATATAGAAAACTCGAGATAAGCCCAACAAATTCGTAAGTTGCCAAGCATACTTGAGATTTTAATTGGAAACTCACATTTTGATCTACTAATTAGTCATACGTTCACAAAACTCGATATTTTCAAGCGAAAATTTTCCATTTTCCCCATCAAATAGTTTTTTTAGTTTTTACTTTTTAAGAATACATCTTTTAATCTTTATATGCATGGGGAGTTCAACAGACCGAAACATTGTACACGTGCACAAAAATAGATTGAATCAATGTAATAAATTAAAAAGAAAGTATGGAACAAAATTTCTATATTTTTGCATTTCATTCGACGAATAATCATTAATCAAGTTGTTCCCCGTCTTCTCCTTGAGACACCCATTTGTTACCCCTAAAATGAGATATCAATTTTGATTGTTGAATTGAAAATTTAGAAGAAGGGGCGATAGAACAAAAGGAAAATGAAAATGATATGATATGTTGGCTTAGGGTCGATTGAGTATTTTTCTCATGAAATGAGGCGATGAGGCGGGCACGGTGACAATCTTCATGGGTGAAATGTTGATGAATGGATGGTGATTTTGTGATCAAGGTGAGAGAGAGAAATTTGGATTTTAAAATTGAGAGAAAGAAGAAAGGGTTTGTTTAAGAACCTAAATGTGTATTGGAAAAATTTAACAGGGCTATTTTTTGAAAAATGGCCATGGATGCAACAATCTTGTAAATAAAGAATTTTTATTAAAGTTTTTTCATTCTTTTCAATATTTTTTCAATTTTTCTATTTAAATTTTTTTGGTATACGCATTATATATATTTTGCCATCTCAATTTTTTCTATTATTTCCAACTTTTCTTACAGTGATTTACTACCTAACCACATGGAAATGTAAAGTCTTCTTGGAAACTATAAACGATGCACCATATAAAGTCAAGTGTCTTCATACTATTATCAATTTATTATGCTTGACTTATAAAACCCTACTTAGAATTTATTGCTTAACCACACGCAAATGTAAATTTTTTTCTTGAAATTAAACTATTGACCTCAATTTCAATAGGGCTAATGTGGCAAACAGTTGGTAAAGTATTCTACGTCGACATCTTCATGCGTCATAGCATTCCTTTAGTCATTCGTGGCCTTTACCGTTTACTGACTTGATCGTCGGAGTATTCACAGCTGCCTCCACCACCACCGAAAAAAGTCATGAGTGACTAACGGTTTACTACCGTGAGTAGGAAGATATCTACGTGGAGCATTTACCTGTTGGTTACGCTACCCCTACAGTAATTGAGGTTAACATAAACAGTGCACCATATAAAGTCAAGTGTGTATATACTATTATTACGCTTCACTTGTCAAACCTTACCTAGAATCCGAATCAATCACCCTACAAGTTTTGGACTAAGATACCTTCGAAGCAAGAGTTGCTTGTAAGAAAGTATTTCAATCTAAGTTAGAAATTATTTGAAAAATTTTCATGAAGAAATGGATAAAAATGATGTCACTGTTAGATGAATGGATGTTTATCCAATTTCTTTTTTCAGCTAAATCAAATCTCTTTGTTGTATAAGAAAGCGTATTCTTAAATTACAAGTAAAGGCTACGCTATGTGAGAATTACTCTTTTTAAATTTATAAAAGAAAAAAAAAAAGGAAGAGGTCTAATTGCTTCTTCTAGTTAACTATATTAAATTCAGCGTATCAAACGTAGTAATTTTAATTTATGACTTTATTATGCGATCAAAAGAACATCTTCACCCCTGTCCGGAGAGGGGACATGTTGTACCACCCCTTGGCATCCTTCATGATACACCGAGGAAAGTAGTTCGGAGAACATCTCCCCGCCAAAGTAATGGGCTGCACCATCTGGCCCCACCTATTAGGCATCATTTAAGCAGGGCCAAGTGAAAATAACTTGGGCTTTGCTAAGTGTGTACACTGGGTGTATAAATAGATTAAAATCAAATTTGTAGTAAATTTTGATAAAAATTGACGGAATGTATAAAGTTACAGATCTCACGAAATATATGATTAAAATTAATTGTTAACTTTAACTTAGATTAAAATTTTAATCTTTACTAAACAGGGAGTATGGAACAGAGGAAATGATGCAAAGGTAGGTAATTTGCATCACAAAATTGTATAATATAACAAGTCATTATTTATTATTATGTATGAACTCTAAAGAAGAACTCTAATATGGTTACTCTCCACAAAAATATGAAATTAAAGAAATTCATTTTCGTATTTAATTGTTAAATTGTCTTAAAATACTAATTCATGAAATATGACAATTTCCATTTTCTACAATGAAATCATATTACAATTTACACAATATAATTCATGGTACATTCAAAATGAAAATAATTATACACGTGTCTAACACATATTTGCTAATGGGTTACATGTCATTTTTTTCTATGAGTAATGCTATTCGTAGTGAAGACCGTCTATAGTCACACTACGTAATAGCAATTTGCGATTTTATACATGAATTAATAAAAAACTACACACATTAATACACTAAATTACAAACTATCATATATATGTCACGTAGTACGACTATCGATAAGTCTTCACAATTAAAAGCTATTAACATTCTCCAATCCAATTTTTTTTAGCGAAAATAAACTGGAAACATGAAGCAATGCCTCGATTCTATTAGGCCCCCTTGACTGTTCCATATCGACTTCTTGCCCGAAGCTACTCTTATTGCAACAATACATCATAAAGAAGTCACCCCATAACAACGTAATAACACCATCTTTAAAAATCTTCAATGGATAAACTACTTCTAATGTTGGTCCAATGAGCTCTGTCATTTTTCCGATGACAAATTCTCGAGTCCACGATTTCTCCACTCCATATTCTTTCATAACCCAGATGTTGATCTCTAAAAACGAAGTATTATCGCATAAACACAGTCGATCCTGTAAAACTCCGAGACTCACCAGAAGTCCTTGCCTCCCTGGAAATGGAGATGGGAATGGTCGAAACGCTTCCTTCTCAAGATCAAAACATGAAATTAATTCATGAGTATCTTCATTTAAATCTTGAATCAACCAATGAACATTCCCGTTGAAAAACAACCCAACAGAACGACAGCGGCCACCATATGCAAAATTCAGCATATTTTCATTGATGGTTCTCCACGATCGTGTTCCTAGAGTGTAAACCTGACATTCGGACCGCGGAATTCTTATGCATGATTGGCTAATCGGGTCAAGAACCTGGTCGTGACAAACTCGAACCACTTTGTATTCGCCAGCTACTCTGCTTACCCCGAATCCATACGTGACTATGCTATGATACCGAACGACTCCCTCAGGATCCGGGAGCCTAACATATTCCCTCGTAATCGGATTACAAACGTAAACAGTTTCGTGTTCGTACTTTGTATCCCTCAAGCACAACAAGCCATTAACAGAGCCATCGAGAACTATATTTGCATCTGTGGATTCACTCAGCCTCTTGAGATCAAATTTCACAAGTGAAACTTGATCGAGATCGTGGTGATCAATCTTATCTTCAAAATCCACNACGAGGCCTGGACGAGCACGAGCAACGGCAAAATGCAAGGCTACAAATTGAGGGTCGGATAATATCTCGAGCCAGGTTTTGCACACGCATTTGCATCGGAATACGGCTCTGGCAGGGAGCCTCGACAGAATCTCAACCAAAATTTCTAATGGTAGGTCCATTAAGGACCCTTTTTGCCGTTTTCTGTATTTGCGGTTTATGGAATTCATCGTGTGGGACTGTGGAGTAGAGGTAATATATTTGTTTTCGGTTACTCGCGTTTGTGTTTATAGATGTGTTGTCGCTTAAAACCGCCGATAAGGAAAATTCGGAGACGGCACCTCAATATTATTCCAAGTGTCACATCTAAGCTTCTTGTACGAGAAGAAGGAGGCGTGTACGTGTAAATTGTACAGGGGGAGAGTGAAGATGATGGATGCGTGTAGGTATAGGGTTAAAAGGTTTATTTCACGAATTTTATTCAAGCGATTTTGCCTCTATTTATAACTGTAAAGTATAACTGAGCAAACTAACTCAAAATATAAATCAATATAACAGAAACAGCAAAATCAAATCTTCAGAGAAAAGTTAAAAACAAATTTATTACTGATTCATTAAAATCAAATTTCTGATTCCCGAAATAAATAAATTATTTTTTCATCTTGAATTTTCTTGTAAGTAGCAGTTATGATAATATATTAGTTTGATAATCAATAACTATTCGTTCAATAGAAAAGGTAATAAATAATAAGCATAATGCCCCCAAGTACAGGGGAACTATTGTCAAGGCCCCTCACAAGATGTGGACCCCACATGTAATTTTTTTTAAAAAAAATTGTGCGGCGCCCACCTATGTGTGTGGCCCTCTGAAAATTCCACCTGTACTTCAAGCATTGCTCAAATAATAAAATCAAAGTTTAGTCCTTTTATGGGCGGAATTTGCAGTGATGCTTTTGAGTTCTTTGAAGATTAATCCTTACTTTTTTTTTTTATGACTCGAGTGTTCGAGTTTCTCCCAACTGATCTTGAAAAGTGGCTATCTTCCCCCTTGGTTCGCCACCTGGGTAAATTCGGATACGATCACGACTTATACACTCTTGGATCGAACATTCGAAAAGCGATTTTCTTCCATGTAGACCTCACATTATTACGTGCTGACAAGTTCTCTGAACACGCGACAAAGCGTATCATAATTTTGTCACTACAGGACATCTGCATTTCAACATAAATGTTGTCTTTCAGTTGCCGTGGAAATTCGAATATCCAATGTTCGTGAAGAACCCTCCTATTTTGCCATTGTGCTATGCTCGTGGGGCGATTAATCCTTATTTTATTCCCATTGAACGCTGCTTTGACAAACAAAGAAGTCGGTTTTCTAGTGGGTCCCAGCCATTGTTACCCTGCCAAAAATGTGGGGCCTCAACCTCATAAAACAGCTTAAAATCGCGCCGAAAGGCTGGTTGTCTACCCCTCAATTTGTAGTGCGCTCCACTTTCGCATTTTAGAGCAGTTTCTATTACAAGGACTTGTTTGAGCCCCCACTTTATCGGGGTAATGCATTTTAAAATAATAGATTGAAAAATGTGTGATTGAAAAGAAGAGAGAAAAAAAAAATATTTTAAAAATAATGGGGATAAAACAAGAGTTAAATGCAATATTATAAAGCATGAATTGTTATATTTAAAAAGTAAAATCTTTAGTCACTTAAAATTAATTTTCAAGCATTGATTATCTAAAATAGAGAGGATAGTGTATTTAAGGAGATTTTTGAACATGCTCTAAGAATAGATTAAAAAGTGAGTTTTACTCTAAAAATTTGAAGAGTCGCCTTTTATTTTAAATAATTAAAATATAGAATCTTTTGGAACTTATTATTAAGTATTGACTCTCTAAAATATAGAGATTTTGTATTTAGAGCGTTTCTTGAAATTTCTTTTAAGAGTTAAATATTTCAATTGCTGCTAATTTGCACCGAACTTCTTCAGTTGACATTGAACTTTAAAAGTTTTTGAATTGCCACTGACCTTGTCAAAATCTTATTCATTCGCCTTCTATCACTCTCCATTATAAAAGTTAACAAACTATACAAAATGGTAGATAGAATTACATATATGATAACGTTTTGATGAATTCACTACATTCATTAACATTTAAACTAGTGAGTGAGAGACGAATGTGATAATATTTCAATAAGTTCAGTGGCTCGAAGGACTTTTAAATTTCAATGACAACTGAGAAATATTTTTATAAAAGTTCAATTACAATTTGGGGATATTTTAAAATTTAATGAAAAATGAAAATATTTGAGAAAGTTCTATAGTAATTGAAAAATATTTGAAAATGTTTTATAGCAATTGAGATATTTAACCCCTTTTTAAACTATGGTTACACAAAATCGCTTGTTACATTGAAATCGAGAGATTGATCCATTTTGCCCTAGTTTTCGATCTCTATTTCAATTTATGGTATGTGGGTGGTTAAAATTTAATGGATGAAACGCATAAATAAATAATTTAAATGAAAATTGCTTATCGATCAAGTATTTTTGATAGGTATTGTATTCAATCGATTATAAGGCTCTCGTATTGTCAATTTTGTTTCTCACGTAAGGCTGACAATTAAAATAGTTACGTGTACTCCAAGGATGAGGGAGAGGCTATGTCGCTATTGCAGGTCGCTTAAAATTTCTTTAGGAGATAATCTGATTTATTGGTTAATATTAGTTAGTGGAAACGTCACAGTCTAATGACAATAGGCTTTTTGTGGTGCATTATTAAAAGAATTGCTGGACCAACTATCGAGTGGACTACTGACGTAACATTAGTGGAATTCGATTCAAAATTAACAGTTGGAGCGTTGAGATCAATGGCCTGATTTTCTAGGAAAAATTTTGTGGTACATTATGAGATCCATAAGGGTCGACATAATGGACACATTGCTGCCTATAATTGGTTGGAGTGCCGGTGGGATGTCCGATTTTCTATCCTTAATGGGCAAGGAAAGTACTCTCGTCACATCAATATTGAAATTTTTTTATGAATATCAAGTGGTTATAATAAACTCTCACATGATCTTAGTGAAATACATATTAAGCGTTGGACTGACTTAAATTAAATGTCTCGATTATTTGTCAAATAAGTGTGTCAAATTAATGAGTAGGATAAATGGTTCCGTTTTTTCAAAATACATTCTTTTAAAACTCATTTTCAACCACACATTCTTCAATAAAATAATATTTTTCATCACATTAATAATTTTTCCTTACTTTTTAACTGTATATTTCACATCATATCACTATTTAAAATTCATTATTTCTTCAATAATATCCATAAAATACACTCATAATTTGCCGACATAACAATCTTAGTCATGTCATTGTTTGTGAGTATTATATTTATCAATTTCCACCCTTTTCGCAGTGCTTTACTACGTAAGCACATGGAAATGTTGAATTCCATTTGGGAAGTAGACTTATGTAACATGTAAGGACAAATGCTTTACTAAATTAAAACCTTAGAATCATCATCAACAGAAATTGTGGTCCATGTTTTGAACTAGTGTACCTTCAAAGCAAGAGTTGCTTTTAAAATAGAAAACTCTTATCCACGCATCATGTTTTCTCGAACATGGAAAAAATTGTAACTTAAGTTTGAGATTATCGTACTCACATAACTGAAGTGCGTCATTGATTATGTAAGCTATATACTGTATACATTAAGTGATTATTGGATATGGTTCAAATTTGTATCCAAATTTAAATTTACATCTCTGGGAAAAATAGTCGACGGGTTTCAATTTATTGTGGGTATGGCTAAGTGTCAAATCCAGTGCNTGTCGTGATTATCGGAAATGGTTCAAATTTGTATCCAAATTCTTCAGATAAAAATAGTCAACACGTTTCAATTTATTGTGGGGATGGCTAAGTGTCAAATCCAGTGCCGTTTGATTTGGTTTGAAAGATAACTTGTGTCGATACTGTTTTGGAAGCTGACAGCCCGCTCGAATAATTTTAGAGTTTGTTTGAGAGAGATTAAAATCATATTAAAATTAAAAATATAGCCGTTGGAGTTGACTTTTATTAGACGAGTGGGACTCAATAACGACTATATTTTCAATTTTAATTGGATTTTAATCATTCCCAAACAAACTCTTATTCTATTTTTGTATTTTCATAAAACTAATTAGAAGAAAAATAGAAGTTTGTTGGACACCATAAGTCCAATATTATTAGCCTTTTTGAGTCCCATTATTTTGTCAAAATGCAATTTGGAATAGTGATTTGATAGAGAATGTGTGATTAAAAAATAAGAAAAAATTTTGAATTTACGTGTAATATTATTTTATTAAAGAATTTGTAATTGAAAATAAAAGAAAAAATATATTTTAAAAATAATAGAAACCAAACAAAGACTATACATACAGTTTATAGCTCAGCCAGACTAGTCCGATACCTTTGATAACTAGATTCTACATTAAGACAAAGCTTTCGAATCATTTAATAATTCTGCGGGTGTAAAGTTGTAAATGATATTTATACACTTGTGATGTTCGTAGAGTCGGTCTTGAAAACTTTGAGGTCATAAACGATAAATTATCATGAGGCCATACACATAAATTTATTTACAAGCGAATTAGCATCAATCAAGATCAAATGAAACAATGTCTCGTGATGAGGAACATTATACCTATGTTATACACCGTTTATTTCATCCGAAAATTGATTTTCATATTCAAGAAATAGAATATAAAGGATTTTAGGAAACCATTAAGGTATGAGATTGGTGACTACTTTTTATTGTCCAAAATATTCTATATTGTCCAATTTACTAGTTGCCCGTGCAATGCTGGACTAATCTTTTATCGATACATTGCAATGTCATTCATTCATTGGTCTTTGATTCATATGTGGCATCTAATCTTCATGATGTTTCTACAAAGGACCATATATTTATGTATTATTAAGAGCAATATTAGAAGACTCTACAATTTGAATCTCCACATCTGAAGAGGCAAACTCACTGTCTATTTTTATTTATGAAGATTGCATTTAATAAATTACAATTTTCGATTATCAACTTTTTAAATTATTTAAATTACATTCAGATATTTTACCTATTGGAGTCTAAAATATATCTTAATTAAAAATGAGAAAAAAATTGTTAGAAAAGTAAAGAGTTAAATA